CCACGTCAACTACTATAGCCCCACCAACAATCACGTCAACCACCACAGCTAAACCAGCCAACTCATCTGTTGGAACAAACTCAACAGCATCTTCTACAACGTCTTCTGCATTTATGAACACCATCAGCTTATTATCAGCCGTTGTGGCTCTAATGGTACATGTTCTTCACTTAAACTGTTGATTATGCTTGATCATTGCCATTTTCTTTAGATTTTCTAAATAATATGATAAAGAACGATGGTTATATAGATCTGAAAACATGTCATTAAGTCATTCTGTGTTAATAATTTTCTCTTTTTAAAGATTTTTCAAATGCTTATTTTACATAGGATTCTTTTTGGTCTGATCTGAGACTCCCAGAGCTGATAATTGCACACATAAGAGGGCTATAATTTTTTTAATCAACATTTTAACTCTGTGTACACATTTATATGACATTATTTTAAGTTGAATGCATTTGTTCTATGAAATGACACTGACTCAGAGCTTATGCACATAATAAATTAAATTGGGGAAAATTTGGATTGCTTTGTTTATTTGTTGCTGAACTGTCTTCTAGTTTACTGAAAAGACATAATGTATGTTATTTAGGTCTGATTACATTGCTTTGTAATTTGAATCACGCAAAAAATATGCTTCTAAAATTAGGTCTTTTAAACTTCTGAGATAAAATTTCACATAACGCTGCAGATCATTCTTAATTGAAGTCTAAATTGATTTTAATAGATTAACATTTTCATAGTGTTGTATTCATTGCTGTCCTGAATCAAGCAACAAAAAAAGCACAGGAACAGCCCAACTAAGAGAAACTGAGCAATGAGAGAACCAGAAGATATGATTTTTACCATGCCTATGAAACTATAAGGCAAAAACAGATTGATTTAGAAAATTAGCCATCTGCCATATGCAGGGCGTGTAGCTTCTGCTGAGGTTTGACACAGGTTGTGAGAGAAGGGAAGGGAATGGGGCATACTGGCATACTTGCTGGGAGGGACAGGGATGCATCTAGTAAATCGCACCGTTGATTGCTCCCAAACAAAGCACATTTCATTCATGTTATTGTGAATATAGCCAATAGTTTACAGCTTATTTGTGAGAAATGGCTGAAAAAAATAACACAAAAATGAATCTGCACACCAGTGAAGGCGATTTTGTTTAGGTCTAAGTTGTTTGGAGAATCATGTTGGTTGGTGATAACCTACTCTGCTCGAGTGCAAATTAAACACATAGAAGATGCAAGAACAGGTCAAATCCATCAGGTGCCCACTTTAGGAAAAATAGAAAAGAAGAGGAGAAATGAACAAAAGATGAATGTAAGCAGCTGTGTCATTTCTTTGAGCATGAAATGTGTTATGTTTTGTAGGCTATAGCCTGTTGTAAGATAGGCTTACTGTTAATTGCATAAGACACTGTTGTTTAAGTTTAGCTGCTTAGGACGACGATTTTGGATTTCAGTAGAAAATTTGATCGTTCTGAAGATTGAAATTCTTCTAAAACTAAACCACTGAATGGGAAAACTACTATAATTACTAAAGGCAGTGATCTTGTGATGCTTGGACTGTGGTGAGTAGACATTAACTGGAAGAGGTGTTGATTTGTCTCCTCTTCTGAATATTTCACAAACTGGACATATGTAGGCCTGTTTGTTTTGTTTTAGTTGTTAGCCGTTTGCTATGCCAGTTTGACACTCCTTAAATCACATCACATTACTTGGAAAAGTTACGTTAGCATGCTGTAATTACTCAGTATTGTATTTGGCTACTTCTCAACAATGACTTTATAGCAGATTAAATAACCATTGTGAGGCATAGCATAATGAATATGATGGGCGGGTTGTTCGCTCAGGGCACCAAACAGGCTAGAACTGCCCTGGTTTGTTTCACTGACATACCGGTAAATAAAAAGAGACAAACTGAACCTATTAACTTCCATTGTCTAAAACTGAAGCCAAAAAATGTTTCTTGCGCGCTGCCATGTTGTTTATTTAAAATGAGATTCTGTGCATTAGGGATGTGGGGTTCATAGGCGTTGTACCGGCCTGTCGTGGTGAAGAAAGAGCTGAGTCAAAAGGCGAAGCTCTCGACTTACCAGTCGATCTACGTTCCTACCCTTGTATATGGTCATAAGCTTTGGGTTGTGACCGAAAGAATGAGATCACGGATACAAACGGCCAAAATGAGTTTTCTCCGCAGAGTATCTGGACTCCCTTAGAGATAGTGTGAGAGTGGTGAAGGCTGCACAGAAATCTGTTGGAATCAGTCTCCCCACCATCACAGACATCTACACCTCCAGATGCAGGAAGAGGGCCACCTGCATCATGAAGGACCCCACCCACCCAGCACACACACTTTTTGCCCCACTCCACACAGGAAGGAGGTTAAGGAGCATTAAGTGTAGAACCACTAGACTGAGGAACAGCTTCTACCCTGAGGCTGTTAGACTCATGAATCTCTAACTAGAATAATCACTGTGAAAAACCATATCATGTTGCTGCTGATCTGTGTCATGTTGCTGCTGATCTGTTTCAATGTTGATGTGTTCATGCGTGCACATCTGCTCGCGGACTCATGTTCATGTTTGTGCTGATGTTCAATGTTTTATGTTATGAGTGCTTAGTGTATATTTAGTTGATGTTTTTCTTAGTTCATATCTTAGATGTTATTACTGTTTTTCTTATACGTTTTATTGTTGGATGTAACTGGGACCCCGTGTACATAATTTTGCTCCACCACATGTACCACATGAGGTGCGAATGACAATAAAGAAACTCTGACTCTGACTCTGAGAAGTGCAGTCATCTGGGAGGGACTCAGAGTAGAGCCGCTGCTTCTCCATGTTGAGAGAAGCCAATTGAGGTGGCTCTGGCATTTAGTTAGGATGCCTCCTGGACGCCTCCCTGATGAGGTGTTCCACATACGTCCCACTGGGAGGAGACCCAGAGGAAGACCCAGGACACGCTGGACGGACTATGTTTCTTGGTTGGCCTGGGAACGCCTTGGGATTCCCCAGAGGATCTGGCCCAAGTGGCTGGGGAGAGAGAAGTCTGAGCCTCCCTACCAGTATACTCCCGCATATGTCAGTTCACGGGTACATATGCGTGTACTGTACGCAGAGGGTTCAGACTTCATACTCGAGTGTACACCCTGAGTGGCTACAGTCAGCTTCACAGACAAGAGGCGTTTACCTTTGGGAAAAATTGAGGTCGCTGACTGGTCATTTGCTGACATGCCTACTGGATTGATTGACAGGTAAAAAAAAACAAAAAAAAACGAGTGCTGGCAGCCTCAGCTGCAGCGGTGTTCTGTGTTTATATGTTGCTAATAAAAAAAAAAAAAAAAAAAAAACAGGGAGCACTGCCTCTGCAGCCCACACATCAGACCAGCCCACCAGGAAATCTCCAGACCCTCCCGCAGCCATGCTGAACCTGAGTTTAGTTCGCTCATGACAAAATCCTTAATTTCTCACCATTTTAGTCATGGCATCAATGGAGGAGGCACAGACCGCTTGCCTCTTGGCAAAAAAACAAAAGAAAAGGCCAGATCAGGGATGAAGAAGGGGAATTTAATACATTGGTGTTGCATACAAATAGTCCGTTGCTGGGCAGTTTATTGTGCGACACTGCACATGTGTATGCGGTCGTAAAAATTGAGATTTGCACGGACATGCCATGGGGGGTATGCTCGTATCTCCGCGTATGTACGTGCGTACCCCCCCCCCACCCACACACACACACACCCCCACACACACACCATGAAATAGTTCATCCAGTGCTGTTTCTATTTCTTGGTGAACAAATCCATTCCACTTGATTGGGGGCAGCTCTGGTTGAGTGGTTAGAGCAGCCTTTCTCTAACAGGAAAGTTGGGGGTTCGATTCCATCAGCAGGGAGAGTTGGGGGTTCGATTCCACCAGCAGCCACATGTTGAAGTGTCCTTGGGCAAGACTAAACCTAAACTTGGTCTGCTGCCTTCATACATGTCCTCCGACATGTCTGTGCATGAGTGCAGTTACAGCGTGTACTCTCAGGACATTATTACCTGCAGTGTTCCGTCAGACAGGGTGAGAAGCTCGATCATCCGGGAGGGACTCAGAGTAGAGCCGCTGCTTCTCCATGTCGAGAGGAGCCAGTTGAGGTGGCTTGGGCATCTGTTTAGGATGCCTTCTGGACGCCTCCCTGGTGAGGTGTTCCGGACACGTCCCACCGGAAGGAGGCCCAGAGGAAGACCCAGGACACGCTGGAGGGACTATGTTTCTCAGCTGGCCTGGGAACGCCTCGGGATTCCCCCGGAAGAGCTGGCCCAAGTGACTGGGGAGAGGGAAGTCTGGGCCTCCCTACTTAGGCTGCAACCACCGCGACCCAACCCCGGATAAGCGGAAGAAAATGGATGGATGGCTGGATGGATGGTGTTCCGTCAGTGCGGACTGAACTAGGCAAAAGGGCCTTCTCCTATCTGCTCTTGTTTCCTGGAATATCTTACAAAAAGATTTGAAGCTCTCGACCTTGACCTTTCTAAGTGGCTTTAAGAATCTGTTGGACTCCTGGCAGGGACCAATGCAGACATGTTATTGTTTTTAGTTTTCTACATTCACCTTGGAATCTAGCTGTTTTTTGTTACTTTTCTTTTTTTAGCCATCCTATTTGTAAAATAAATATATAAATCTGTATGCCTTTTTATAACTGTTTATTGTTGCCGCTGTTGTCCATTGTTGTCATCATTCTTTGTTGAAATCAGGTCTCTCTTGTAAATGGATCCTCGAGGCTCAATGGGATTTACCTGTCTAAATAAAGGTTGAATGAATAA